TTACCCACTAATTTCTAGATGGAAAAATGGATCATTGTCTTTGATCACAATACAGCTTATCCCCAAGGATTTCTAAGTGGACGAAGAATATACCTGCCAATATTCACTGAATTTATGAATGAGTTTGTACTCCTTTGGGGCTTACTTCCAACTCTACCGAATGAAATAGAAAATATTTCAAATATTTGAGACGCTAATTATGGGATCTCCCTCCTAGTTTGCTAAAGCTTGTTTACAACAAAAAAAATAAGGGCTTATGTGGAAAATGGCAGAAAGATTTTCAGTAGTTGGTGAAGTTATGGAATTAAAGGTAACCTAAACAAGCATGATTTGTTCATGTGAAAAGTACTCTGCTATATCAGCTCCAGCAGCCAGTGCTTAATTTTGTAAATCTGATATCTTTCCACCAGCATTGGAAAGAGTTACTGGTTTTAAGGGGTAGAAATAATAAGTTGAAATTAGAACTGGCAAAGAAAATTTAAGCATCTCATGCTGTTTTGAAGGACTATTAAGAAAATAATAGGGGTGAAATTAACAAGGAAAAAGGTGGAGAGAATGACAAAGATTATCAGGAATACATAATTACTTCTGTGCTACTCTAGTGATTCTGAAGGAGAACTCCTCAGCATATAAAAAAGGTGACCAATGAACAAATTTGTCATAGAATCTATGGAGTCATGAACAGCAGGAAGAAAGCGTTGAACAACACTTGTTCCTTGTCTCTTCCATGACAAAATTGAGGGCGCGGCACATTTAAATGAGCAGATGACTTGCATAAAGCAAATGAAAAGAGACACTTCTTACCACTCATGGTGAAAGCTTAGGAGCATTTCACCACAGAATATGTTTAGTGGTGTAAATGTACATGATTTCAAAAAACAACTGGACAAATTCATGGAATAAATTCTGTCACAGGTTGTTAAATTCCGATATTATCTCCGCTTTAAAACAAACGAACAGCTTGAAACCTAGATTTCTGGCAGCTAGGAATTAATGTTACACACTTGTCTTGTTCCTATATTCTTCCCTAAACATCTGGTCTTAGCTGATGTTGAAGTCAGTTTATTCTGCTAAATGGGTCTTGGTCTAACCCAGTAAAAATGCTTCTTAAGATCAGAACATCATGAGGACATTAAATCACATTTTACAGAAATTAAAAATCCAAAGAGCTTTAAAGGTAGTCACTTTCACTTGTCAGAACAAATGTACATGGCCCACAAGAATTATAGAACAAGGAGAAAAAATCTGCAAACCAACAAACAAAACAAAACCCAACAAAATCCAACCCAACAAAACAAATAAACCAAACCAACTTGGTCAAGAAGAAAAAAATGTTTGACAGGAGTAGAGGGGAGATCACCTCCAAGGATGATAAACCCTTTTTCAGCAGTAGACATGGCTGGAACCCCAGATTTTCTTTAGTTTTTCAGGTGACTGCTGCCAATCCTCTCCAATGCATTGTGATCACACAGACGTTGTAATCCTGGCCTCTGCAGAAGGTTTAAAGGTAGTGTTACCTTCCCCAAAACTGCGTGGCAAGAGTAGGGGAAAACAAACACCCAAAAATGTGGAGATAGAATGGCAGTCACTGTTATGCTGGGCTAAGAAGACCACAGCTGTCACTGTCACTGTTATTGTCTCTGTCATGGACAGAGGTCATGGACACCACCATCCTTTTGCAAGGTAATTGCTGGTGCATTTATTTATTTGTTCTATGACACAAGCAGCTCAGAATTCCATCCGATATTTGACCCAAGACACAACATTCACAGAAAATGGAAATTACTCAAAAAATGGTTCTATACATTAAGAAAAAGTCCAGTTCTGCAGCTCCAGAAAACTCAGAGCGCCTCAGCCAGTGTGCCTGTGTGGCTGCTTGAAAATGCCCTGCATAGTGCCCAGGGTAATCTTTGATTTTTAATAAAGGCCTGGGCTGCACTGGTAAAATGTGGATGTTCTGTGTATGCATGCAGGAATTGTGTGTATAGTATATAACAAAAATTACAATTCATAATAATCCAAAACTTATGATTAATTTTAATATGCCCAAACAAAAAAAAAAGCATAAATCCTAGCTGAGTAACTGTATTTCTCATCCCACTTCTGTGCAACTGTGGTTTTAGATGTATGATATATCAGATCATTCACGACTAGCAGGAAACCGTAGAAGACAGCCCCCAAGATCCTGGGTCAATGGTGGTCTTTTGGTGGTTGGGTGTGTGGGCAGAGAGCCCCGTCGCGGAGGTGGTAAGGTGGCCCAGGAAGTTCCAGCCCTTTCACGGTGTGGCTCCAAAATTCTTCTTTAGGGTCTCGGGGTCCCGCCCAGTCGCTGAGCGGGAGGATTCCTGCCCGACCGTGCCTTTCTCGGGGGCTGCTTTGGCCAGGGAGGTCAGGCCGGGCCCCGAGCCCCGCACTCGGTCCCGCCGCCGGCGCTCCTTGCCGGTAGATGGCATCCCCCGTCCGCGCACAGCCGTGCCCGGAGCGGAGCGACGCTGACCGCGGGGTGGGGGACAGGGCAAAGCCCCCGGCCCCGCCGCTGGTAGGATTTTGCCAAGGGAAATGCCACCCCCCGATGGCACCCCGATCGGCCGCGTCCAGAACGAGCCGCAGCCCAGCCGAGGCTGGCGGGAGCTCGGTGCTGTGGAGGAGCCGCCGGTGTCACACGCTCAGTGAAACACCCGCGCGTTCTGCTAGAGCAGGATCGAGGGCAGAGCCCGGCGCTTTTGGTTTGTCGCTGCAGTGGTTCTTCCCTGTGCATTTTTAAAATTCACTTTCGAGCATGATTTTTTAAAGACTGTTTTAAACGTTCAGGCTAGGAGAAGATAAAGAATGGGGGGGGGGGGGGGGGAGGGGGAGGAAGTAGAAAGATAAAATAGTAACTCTTTGTAAAGACGAGAAACCTCTTGAAGACGAAGAATCCGATCTACCTTTCTTTAGTAACTTCCCGAGGACCTTAAAACTAATTCGAAGAGAGATTTTATGAACTGTAGGAACTGTAAATCCGAGTGATATCTATTTTTGTGCAGGAAAAATATATAGCAATTAGCTGGATATAGAGGGTTGGGTTTTTTACTTTTTATTCCCCCCCATTTTGTAACTTTTGGTGGTATTGTCTTGCAGGCGCCTTAGTAGTGAACAAAATGTAAATAGGATTATTTGGAAATAGTAGAAAGGATTATGTTGTAAATCCATGGAACTGGGTTTGAAACAGGGTGGCTCGTAGCTTTGGGTTAGGACAGTATAGCGACAAACCAAAACGTATTTTGAGAAATTGGGTGTGTACGTTGTTTGCAAAGTGTGATTTGATCAATGAGACTTTATGCATCAGTCTGCCCTTCTCAGGACGATTTCTGCCAAAGAAAGAAATGCTCCTTTACTCCCAGTCGGATCTTGATTGCGGTTTATCCTGCCAGAACTGGGAAAGATGGGATTTTTCAAAGGCTTTATTTTTAAGACCGTGGTAATTGCATTTCTGTCCAAATTTCTGGGGCGTTCATTTTGTTTGGGTTCTTTGGTGGAGTTTTTGTCTTTTTTTTTTTTTTTTTTTTTCCCCTGCCAGCCCTTACATAAAGGGGGCCCCGTCTTCTGTCGTATCATAGATCACCTGAAAAGGGGAACTGCCACTAAATTAGCAAGCAGTCCTCTGTCGCTTTCTCAGGGGTGTTGCTCCTACTTAAAGCGAAAGTTCCATTCTAAAGGCCAGTGAATTTATTTCCTTTACATACAAAGGAGGTAACGCTAATTCTCTGTGTTTCTCATAGCGGAGGGAGTGGAGTGTTTCTCATAATGGAGGGAACTGCCTCTCTCTCTTTAATAACCATAGCCTTACAATTTGACTGAGAATAGTGGTGTGTTTTGGAGACTGTTCTTTTAGAATTTGTGAGGTCGATAGCAAGAGATATTTTATTTCCTTCTAAAGTAAATTAAACTCTGGAGAGTGATGGGGGAGAGGTAGGGAAGGATGTCTCTCAACCATTCCGCGGACAGAAGTCTGAAGTCTGTTAACTCACCATCTCCCTCTCCGGTTTGATTTTTTCTTCCTCCTTCCTTCCCACGGGAAGCAGCACCCCGTCTCTGAGGGCAACCCCGGAAGATGCAAAGCTCCTAGACCGTCCTCAGGGTATCCGGGAAGATGCGCCTACACTTTGCGACAGACTTTTTTTCCTTTTGGGTTTTGTTTGTTTGGTTGGTTGGTTGGTTTGGGCTTTTTATTTTTTTTTTTTTCCCCGCGGAGGATCAAGTGTTATCTTTATTTTTTCCCTTTTCCACTAAATATGGCACCGGTCTCCCCGCGGCCCCCCGGGGCCCCCCCTGGATGGGGTGAGGCCGGGAGGGCCCAGACGGTGGGGAGGCGCCCTTCTTGGCCGGGGGGGGAAGGCTCGCCGGGTTCTGACGCTGGGAGCCATGTGATGGCCCCCTCGCTACGAGGCGGGGAGGAAGGCTGCCCTCCCTGGGACTAAGCCCCAGCCTTTTCACCGTGTTTCCTAAGGCCCAGCAAGCCGTCCCCTACGCCCTCCCTCCTCGCCAGCCTCCTCCCCTCTCCTCCTCCCAGGACTAGGCGCGCTCCCTCCTGCCCCGCATCCATTAATGTCTGGGGGCTGAGGTGAGGAGAAAGAAGGGGACACCGACTTCCAGGAGAGACGGCACAACCTCCCTGCGCCCGCAATAACAGATCCCAACCGAAAAAAAAAACCGAAAAAGATCCCCAAAAGGGGGGAAGGGAAGGGAAAAAAGAGAAAGAGAGAAATCCAAACGGCAGCAAAAAATACCCCGAAACAAAACCCTGACTAGCCGCCGCCTCCGAGCGGGCGGCGGGAGCGCTCCAGAGGCGCGGCAGCGGCGCTGGGGGCCGGCGCGGCTCGGAGCGGCCCGCCTGCCCGTGGCGGCGGCGGGGCGGCTCTCCGCGGAGCGGCGCGGAGGCCTGGCGGCGGCGGGGAAAGCGCCCGCTCGCCCGCCGCGCCGCGCCGGCCGCCACCGATGCGCTGCCCCGCCGCCGCGCCATGACCCTTAGCTCGGAGATGTCCGAGGCGTCGACTCTGGCTGAGGAGACCGACATCGATGTAGTGGGCGAGGAAGACGACGAGGAGGACGACGAGGAGCCGCGGACCCGCCGCCGCCGCCGCTCCTACGCCGAGGATGAGGAGGAGGACGAGGACGACGACGAGGAAGAGGACGAGGAGGATGTGGGCGACCTCCACGCCGCCGCCCTGCTGCCGCGGTCGCCCGTGCGCGGCGGAGGCGTAGGTGGCGGCGGCGGGGCGGGCGGCGGGGACGCTGCCGGTGGCTCTCGGCCCCCCTCGCGGGGTGGCCCGCAGAAGGCGACGGCGGGCGGCGGCGGGGCGGGCGGCGGCGGGGCGGGCAGCGGCGGCGGCAAGAACAGCCTCGTGAAGCCGCCCTACTCCTACATCGCTCTCATCACCATGGCCATCCTGCAGAGCCCCAAGAAGAGGCTGACGCTGAGTGAGATCTGCGAGTTCATCAGCGGGCGCTTTCCCTACTACCGGGAGAAGTTCCCTGCGTGGCAGAACAGCATCCGCCACAACCTCTCCCTCAATGACTGCTTCGTCAAGATCCCCCGGGAGCCCGGCAACCCTGGCAAGGGCAACTACTGGACGCTTGACCCCGAATCCGCCGACATGTTCGACAACGGGAGCTTCCTGCGCCGCCGAAAGCGCTTCAAGCGGCAGCAGCTCCCGGCGCCCGAGCTTCTGCTGCGCGCCGTGGACCCCGCCGCCTTCCTCCCGCAGCCTCCGCCGCAGCCCCCGCAGCAGCCGCCCTGCGCCTACGGACCCTACGGCTGCGGCTACGGTCTCCAGCTCCAGCCTTACCACCCCCACTCCGCCCTCTTCGCCTTCCACCACCCCTCTCCGCCGCCCCGCCAGCCCCCTGCCGCCCCCGGTAGCGCCCCCGGTGCGGCGCTGCCCCCCGCCGCCGCCGCGCCGCCGGGCCCCTTGCTGCCGGCGGCGGAGCTGGCACGGACGCCCTTCGGCTACGCGCACCCGCTGGGCCCGGCGCTGGCGGCCTCGCTGCACTCCGCCAAGCCCGGCAGCGGCGCGGCGCTGGCCCGCTCGCCCTTCTCCATCGAGAGCATCATCGGGGGAAGCCCCGGCCCCGGCCCCGGCGCGGGCAGCAGCTGCGGCTCGCAGTCGACCGCGGCGCCGGGGCTGGCCCGCTCGCTGGGGAGCGCCGGGAGCGGCCTGCCCCCCGCCGCCGCCCTGCCCGCCACCCCCGGCTTCGCGGCACGGATTTCTAACTGTTAAGTGTTTGGGAGTCTTTCCGAAGGTAGGATCTGGGGTATCTCCTTTCTCCGCCGCTCGGACGCCCGGCGGACGCTGCCCGCAGGGGCTGCCTGTCTTTGCGTGGGGATAATTGTGACGGGGCTCGGGGGCCGTCCGCCGCGAGCGACGGACCTCCCGCGACCTTCACTAGTGCAAAGCCAGGTGTAGATCTAGATACTGCACGGGCAGGCGGTCGCTACATCGGAAAGTTACTCGCTACTCCTTAAAAAGAAACAAACATGGTGATAAATAATGTCTCTAAACCGCTGAAGTTCAGAGATTCTCAGGTCTAGGAGCTTGAAAACAGTATCGTACAGGAGGAAAAAAAGGCTTGAGGGAGGACAGCAGAGCAATACTTTTTCATTTAGTACACTTGTCTCATGTACTTTTATAAAAGAAAAGATTAACGTGTTTACACAGAAGAAAGTCGAGATTATCATTTCTTATTTTAACCTGTGTTTTGTATTATAATAGACTTACGGAGTTTTTTATTTTGTACTTTATGCGTATTCTTTACAAGGAATATTGTTAAAATTACAGCAAGTATTATTGTACCATTTTAATGTAAAATTTTTACACATTTTCAAAAATAAAATTTTTAATTTTCAAAAAAAAAAAAAGTCAAAACCAAACCCAAAGACCAAAGGAGCCCAGTCAAACAATTGGCTTTGGATCCTTCCCTCCTTAGCACTTCTCCTTTCTTTGGGACACTAATATTTTTTTCTTTGGGATTAATAGCACAATAGTCAAGGAATATTCTAGCTTGAAATTTATTATGTGCAGATTTGACTGCAAAGAAGAAAATAAAAATACGATCTTTGCAGGCAATGCATTGTTAACCCTAGCAGATAAAGAATGACAAAAAACCCAAAACAAACTAAACAAAAACAAAAAAAAACCAAAACAAAGCAAAACAATCCACACAACACCAACAACCCCCCCCCAAGAAAACAAAAAACACTCTACAAAAAACAGCAGGAACGAAAGAGGGGATAAATAGAAATAGGTCTCTCTGGAGGGAGTAAAGCCCAGTTCTGTAAGTCGCCAATCAGGGGATTGATTAAAACGCCGGTTTAAAACTATTTTTATACTTTTGGGTGTGTTTTAAGTCACAACTGCATCATAGTTTGGTTTCCAAGAGGCCAAAGGAAAATACTACTAATAAAGGGCGTGCATTGAACTTAAGAGAGATTTGTTCTAGACACTTATGTTTCTGTGATGATGATAATAGTGGCATGTGTTTCTACTTTTCAATACATAAAATATAAAATGCGCTTTGTAATATCCTCGTGTGATGAGTTGATTAAGTTTATAAGCTGTCGAAATAAGGATGTACAAAACAAACCATGAAAGCAGCTTTTCTGATTCCAAACACTCGTTTTTAACAGCATAAGGTCCATAGATATATATTTTATAGACTAAAAAAATTTTAACCAAAAAAATCAGACCTCAAATATTCAGAGCTTTTATATGGAAAAGAGAATCGCATGTTTTAAGAGTAGGCGTGTGAATGTTTGTTGTGGGCTAGGAATACACGTTTTTCAAAACAGGGAGGCGCTTTTTAACTGCGACTGTATTTATAACTATTTAGGAGACTCGGGGATCAAATATGTGAATTTTCATAATAAAAAAAATAATAATAATAAAAAGGGAGGGATGCCTTTTAGTGCTCTTTGGAGTGAGGAGGGGTTTACATGTAGAAGTATTTCGTCGCCTGGGTTTTAAATATCCTCATAGACGGAAAAGTGGTAATTCTCCGTTTTGTTCGTAGCAATGCTGCGTTAAAATAGTGGGTTTCAGAAAGCAGAAAGACTGGACGTAAGATCTCTGCTGGGCTCCATTTGCACTCTGGCGCTGGAAGGCCTCTTTGGATGTTCTGGGTTCCTTAGCAGAAAAATAAGTGCATTCTAATTTCTAAAACAAAAGGGAAAATACCCCAGAGGCACCGTGTTCATATTCTCCAGGGAGAGCGAGTCTTTTTCACGAGAGACCGATTAATTCACTTTCCCCGGGCCTGGCCGGGGGATGCGCCGGGCCGACACGGGCCGGTGCGGCGCGGAGTATGGAGCTAAGCTGAGGCCCCCCTCGAAGAGGCAGATAAAATCAAACGAGGAAGTGTTTCGCGGGAGAGAAGGCAGCTGTGGCCTTGCGGCGGTGCGAGGCTTCCCGAGGAGGGGTGCTGCTGGCGCTCAGTTTGGGTTCTGTCTGCTCGAGTCCTAGGGATCTCCACGGGCAGTTACATGAGAAGGGTGGATTCCGGCGACCCACCCTGTGTTTGTTTCTCTTGGCTTCTACGCAGCAGACCCCGGGTACGCAGTAGACCCCAGGGAGCCCGGCGACCTCCCCCACGCAGAGTCCAGCCCGGCCCACGCCGGTGGGCAGTGGGGTCTGAGTGTGCCCGCTGCCCATCCCTCAGGTCTCCTCAGAGATACATGGCAAGCAAACTGCTTGGCTACTTTTTCCTTCCACGTTTTTCGCCGGTTGCCTCCATCCCGTGCGGACAAAACCTTCCCTTGGGAGTTGCTAGGGAAGGTGACAGGAGCAAACTGCAGTAGGTGGTACGGATTTTTTTTTTTTTTTTTTTTTTCTGTAAGGAAAAGGGGGTCGAGTAAGAGGTCCAGAGTCCTGGTGAAGGACCTTTTTGCCTGTTCTCCTCGAGTCGGCGGGGAAGCCGCCTGGCCTCGGTGCCGGTCCCGAGGGTCCTGTTTCCCCGCTGCTGCCGCAGAGCAGGTGCTGCCAGAAAAGGAGCCGGCCGCACAGCCCTTTGATGAGCTCGCAGCACCGCCGGGCCGCAGCGCCCCATTCGCATGCTAATGGCCCGCCGTGCTCTCCGCGGCTTCCAAGACTAACAGAGAAGCGAACAGTGTAGTCCTCGCAAGGACCGAGCCCGGACGAACAATTCTTCCAAAATAGTCTGGGTCCTAAACAATCTGGTAAGACATGCAGTATAGTGTCGTCTCCTTCTCCTCTCAGAGACAAAGTGTGGATTCATTAACCCGTCTCCTTGCTCATCCTATCCCCGTAGGGCTATGAGAGAAGAATTACTGGATCTGAACTGGGAGGGGATTGCTCTATAAGGGGGCTAATGTTTCAATCAGTTCATCCTGAAGGACCACACAAAAAGAAACTTCTTCGTTTATGGTGCTATTATGCGGAGTTTTAATCTAGGGATAGATTTAGCCAAATGTTATCTATTGGGAATTTAATGAAGCCCTTATGTATTCAATCGTCTTTTATGCCACACACAGTGTCTCTATCCAGAAACGTTTCCTTCCACATAGTTCTTTGTTTCTGATGGGTGATTTATATATTTTTAATTAGGTTTTTAAGAAATTCTTTCTTTTCAAGTATCTTGTATAACGTTTCTCTTAAACAGGACTGTGTTAGGTCTCTTCCCACATCCCCTATAAAAGAGGTTTCCCCTTCCCTCCCTGGTTTTGAATACGATTCGTTTGCACGTCCACACACTGCGCCCTTCCCGCTGGAGCGCTCCTGCTGCCTTGTGCAGAGGGGCCGGACATCGTGCCCGCTCTGTCGACACCGCCCTGGGCTCCGACGGGGGCGCAGCCCGGGGGTCCAGCCGAGCCCCGTGGCTCCCGTGCACGGCTCCCCAGCCCTGAAGCTGCTCTCGAACCCAAACCACCCCCACCCGCACCTCCTTTGGACCACACCTTCGATCTGGTTTGTATTTTAGGTGCAGTGAGAAGCACTCCTGGGGTCAGCCGGGTGCACACACATCCCGTGCTTGCAGGCTGGTTTCAAATACCCAGGGCCGGCCCCATCACCCAGTCCGGAAGATGAAAGAGAGGAACGAGGCCCTCACCTGCTCTCAGCTGCTCCCTTTCTTGCAGCGCTGGTGGCGAGGGCAGAGAGCACGGTCGCCCCCGTAGAGACTGAGGCCTGTTCGGGGGATCTGTGGGAAAGTGGATCTGATTTAGCTGTCCCTTGGCACGTCCTGGAGACTCCTCTCCGTATGCAATACTTTCCCTCAGTACTTACAGTAAGTACTGCTGTAGTCTCTGATAATATTGTATTTGAAAGAAGTAATGGAAATTATGATCTTGGCCAAGACCTCGCTGCTCTGGAACTTGCTAACCAATGCAGATCCGTTTTTCAGCTTGTTCACAGTGGTTCCCCCACCTGCAGTGGTATTTCCTCTGCTTCCGTCGGCAGCGGCCGGCCGCACACACCATCGGGACCCGAGCACCGGCAGGGACCGGCTGCCCTGTGCCCGCAGCTGGGCGTATCCTGAGCAGGTAGGTGGCCCCCTCCACCGTTCCTCACCTCCAAGCCCCAGTGACCTGCTGCAGGTGACCGCAAGGCCTCTCCGCCCTTCTCTGAAAGTCCTTTCTCCTTTGCAACCCTCACCGTGAGAGGCACGTCGAGCAGCCGCCGTTGTTCGCTGCCCCTTCCTGCGCTGCAGCGCACCACCAAGATGTGGAGGAGGCATTCGCGCAGAAGCGTGCGTACGTGTGTGCAGGAGAATGGCGCTTCAGAAGGTAACCAGCTGCTGCCGGATGGATCCCCGCTGCGGCAACAGCCGCGCTCGGTGCCTCATGGCGCAGACGGGTGCCCGCCGATTTTGTGGAGAGATGGAGAAATGAACGCGAGTTCCAAATCGGTAAACCTCTTCCTCTTGTTTTTCGCTTGAGGAAGAACTCTGTTCCCCGCCGCCGGTCCCCGCCTGGAGGTGTACTGCGGGCAGCCGGCCCTGAAAGCACGCCGGCCCCTTCCCAGCCGCTTGGCTCGGCTTGCCGCTCACTCACCGGCACGACCGAAAACAACAAAGGCAGAGGCTGCGGGGCTGGGAAGGCACCCTAGCCCAACTCGCGGCCGGCCCGGCTGCCTCAGTGCGGGCGGCCCCGAGGGCTGTGTGCGGCTGCACGGCCGCGGCGGTGGGAGCGGGGAGGCACCCGGCAGCGTCCCGGCGGGAATCACCGCGGGAAGCCCCCGGAAGATGGATAGGGTACGAAGATGTGCCC